TGCATGTATGTTCTCGATTCAAAAAAGAAAACTCAATAAAAATAATATAGATAATATTTTTTTTAAAAAAGGCTGCTCACAGAGCATTTCAGACCGCCATCTAGTGGAACAAAAATCAACTAAATAGCGCTTTGCAATGTAAGCGGTCAGGAAATGCTTTTTTTTTTTGCGTTTTCAATATCAGCACCTACAACTTTTCTATTTTTAAATAGATAAAAAAATAATGTTGTGAATAAAAATACAATCATTTTCATTATTTACAAATGCTGAAGTAAAACATTAAATACTTCATATTGGAATGTCTAAAATTTCATTTAAGAGAAATTATATATATAAAAAAGCACACAGATAAATAAATATTTAAATAAAAAGGCATATATTGGATCAAAATATAAATTTTTAAACCAATATTTCAGTTGGCTAAACGCTAAACTTTATCAAGGTATCAAGGTTGGCGTTCAGCCAAATGAAATAATGGTAAAATAAATGATATTTTAATCCAATATATGCCTTTTTATTTAAAGATTTATTTATGGATTTCTCTATTTTCAAAACTTGAATAAATATAAATACAATCTATATGCGCATACAATTCTAACCATAAATAAGTATTACTATATCTATAGAAGCATAGGACGCCTCTCCTGTCAAATTAAACGTCAAAACTAGACGCCATCTTTTGACCTTCACCGCAAACTAGCGGTCTCAGGTAGGTGACAAAGCAATAATACCAGTTTTGGCAAATTGAGAAGTGTCCACCTAAAGACCATGGTTTTGGGCTAATGGCCATCTTATTTAGGGAACTGACTTAGGGAAGTCATACCTCTCAGCATGTATATCAGTATCCAGACAATTACTGTGAAAGATATTACAGTGAGGTTTTTTGAAGAAAAACGATATTATCAAGTGTGAATAAAATTGCTTCTCGCTCAAAAAATAAAAAAATAAAAAAACAGATAACCGCCGATATAAAGTATTTTCAATCCTTATGTTTTGTTTATGAATGTATATTAATATTTAAGTAATAGATTCAAAGCGTACGAGGATGCGTATCTTATAAGTTTTAATAAAGGCGAGCTTTCGGGTCAATAACCCTTCTACAGGACATCATATCTAACTAAACTTGCATCTTATATGCATATCCATAATGAGAAAAATTAGCATATATACAAGAAAAATAAACGTATTAGCAAATTAGTTAGAAAAGTAATAGTAAGAAATATCTGCGTGTTTTGAGTACACTAAGTAGGAAAATCACAAGAAACTTCACGATTAAGCTACGATTCAATTTAAGGCTGCATGAGTAAAATAATCCAAAATAAAACGTACTGGCAATGCTCACCTAAGGTACACTATGGCAATATTGCTTTGTATATATCAGGGTTGTCTATGTGTCTATTAATACTATTATGTATATTAATATTTGTATTTTTTTTAAATTTCGTATTATTAGTATCTGCAACGTGATCACTTTCGACGATTATAGTAAATTTAATTTTGTATTAGAATAAATCTATTTTTAACAACAACAATACTTTTACGATTTTGTGCAACTACATATAACATTTCTTATTTTTATAATTCGGGGAAAAAATATTTTTTGGTTTCGATATATTTATTCTTTCGGAAAAGTAAAATCCACTGCAAGATATAAATTATCGAATAAAACGGCTTCCGAGAATGAATATCTTTTTTATTTTATATTCTTCTCAAGCTTTTAGGTTTAATAAACCTTCTAGAAGTTAATGCTTCCTGTAAAAGGGTTTGTAAAACCCTTGAGTAAAAAAAAATGAGTAAGAAACTCAGAAACCGTTTTATATTTATCATTTTATATTTATTCTCAAATAATTTGTAGCAGTTACGATGAGCTAAAGTTGTAGTGTTCATTCCTCAGCGATGAAGTATGCGATTTACGTTTATTCGTAGATCATGAAATACGTGGTGTCGCTGGAGACCCGCTGGTGATTTTCCACCAAACTCTGCAGCGCTGGCAGAGGCGCTATGTACATATTCATAGATATAGCTTTATTAAGGTACCGGTCTTATACAGATTTACCACAGGAAGGAAACATAGAGAGCTCCTATAATTCAGGCAGCACAGAACCTAACAACAGCCTCCAAGTCCGACACATGTCCATGTACATTTTAACTGTAAATAGTGGTGTATATATAATTATTACTTTAAAACTATAGTTAGAATGTGAACCTTTGCATATATTGACAAGAGTTGAAAATAAGAAATGTTAATTCTCAATTGTCTATCTTGGTATAGACCATAAATATCTCTTAAATGAGTTCAGTTATTAAAAAAAAAAAGAATTAAAGAAAATATAGGTATAAAAACAAAATCCACTCACCATCCATAGCAGAATGGAGTTGGAGGTTTCTTCATATTCTTCTATTGTAGAAAATACGGATAGCACCAGGCACAGAAACACCATAATAAACCTAGGACACACAAACATACCCTTGATATAGAACATCCTTTATGATAGTTGCCTCAAAGTACAATGCAATATGGGAATAAGTATTGTAGTAAACAAGTTTGTAACAACAAGACACACACACACAGAAAATCTAACAGATAAATATATCCCCTATTTATTGATTTGTTCTCATATATATATATGAATCGTTCTGAATATAGAGCAATCCATATTTATATCTTTCGATAATAAAAAGTAATATATTGGATTGAATAAAATATTTATTTGCCAATATTTTGGTTGGCTGAACGCCAACTTTTATCAAGACATTACATTTTTGTATAAAAAAAAACTCAGCGCCGCATAGTGTTATAATGACACTATGCGGCTATGAGTTTGTTCATACAAAAATGTAATGCCTTGACAAAGGCTGGCGTTCATCCAACTGAAATATTAACAAATAAATCTTTCAATTAAATATATGATTTTTATTATCGAAATGTAAATACTTATCATAAATGTAGAGGCTGCCTGGCCGTCATTCCTAGTTCTTAAAATTAAATATATTTCGGCCAGTAAATCTTTATATTACCTCGGCGTTTCGGTAAATATATTTTGTCTTCGTTTGGAGCAAACAAAAATTAATTTGGCAAGGCGTTAACATTTTTTTCTAAAATACAATAAAACAATAATTTTTAACGCCTTGCCAAATGTTTTAATTTTTTTTCGCTCCTGACGAGGACAAAACGTTTTTGTATAAACGTCGAGGTAATACAAATATTTATTGGCCGAAGGATCTTTAATTTTAAGAACTAAATATATATTAATCTATGTCATAAACATTTCTGAATAAGATTGTTATGAAACTCTTGATCCCCACCATACTCACCAAACCTTACACCTACCGACTACAATTGCTTCAGGCATCTCACCAACTTACTGGGAGGGAAATGTTTTAGAAATCGAGGCGATGCTTAAACTGTCTTTAACTATTTCCTCACTTTTAGAACTCAGAATTTTATCAAAATGGAATAATCTAGCAATTTTCTCGTTGGCAAGAATGTATAGATTCCCAATGACCTTTATTCTGGTTAATAAAGTATTGTTTAAAGCGAGTTTTCCATTCTAAAGCTACCGCCAAAAAACGGCAATTGTTTTTTCACCAATGTGGTGATCGCGTTGATCCAATTCAAAAACGCACGCAACTTTCTAGTTTTGGGTTCACGTACTCTTCAAGAAGGAAGCCTAAATGAAAACTTCGCAACAACAGCAAAGCACCTGAATCAAATTACATTTAATTCTATACTAATCTACCTTCACCGAGTAAAAACAATAAATAAAAAAATGAATATTTCTAAACACATGCAAATAATCGGAATTTTTTTCAATTTACATCCACCAGCAAATATCAATCTAATATATAATTAGCATATAATAAACTATTTTTAAAAATAACATATATGAACAAATCAAAAGTGGTAAGAAAAATACAAATATATACACCTGCTTTCAACAACCAACCTAATAGCTAGTTTAGTATACAAAGTTATAAATACCGCATTGAATTGATAGAATTTTAAAAGTAGCAATGGAACTGAGGAAGATCCAAAAAGACCTTGTCTGGAGGAGGACTCTCTCAAAGTGGGGAAACATGTATATATACTATATACTAGCCGAATGACCCGGGCAACGCCCGGGTTTTACCCGATTAAATGTTTTATTAAAATACTCTTCTTTACAATTATAAATTGGCGTCGTTGATGGCATTCTTTTGAAACGTCCCGCTTCAATCTTTGCGTGTTTTTAAAATACAAAAATAAAAATGTAAATTTTCACAACGATATTTGAAAATTGTATTATTTAGATTTTTTGTATGAATATATTTTAAATCTGATATATACATAAAATGATATGATAATGATAGCAAGTGATTTCTTGTTCCTACCCTGTCATTACGTCACTCAAGGTCACCGTCGCGCCACGTGGTGGCGCAGTAAACGGTGACACCTGAATGGCGCTCTCCTATTGGCTCGCTACGATCACGCCACCAAAAGCAAACGGTGACAGAACGCATGACGCTGATAACTGTATATATAGAATATTTATTATTATAACCATTGACTCTAGGATATAACAATAATATAATAAATATTCGATATGAACAATATAAAGATGTTTTGAATTCTTTAAACTGTGTGAAGAATAAATTTTCAAAGGATATCCGTACCTTCCTCAAACATAGCAATTAAGTAAAAAGGCATATATTGGATCAAAATATCATTTATTTTACCAATATTCTAGTTGGCTGAACGTCAACCTTTATCAAGGTATTATAACATATTAATGTGTGTCAACAACAATCTCAGCGCCACTTGATAATGGTTGACGTTCAGCCAACTGAAATATTGGTAAAATAAATGATAGTTTGATTCAATATATAGCTTTTTAATTGGAGAATTTTTATGGATTGCTCTGTTTTCAAAACATAGCATTGTTTTAATTTATGGAACTATCTCATTTTACAAATATTTTTTAGAACCGTATTCGGTTAGGTTTATAATCTAACCTATTTCCTACTAGGTAGCATAGTGGACATGGCATCTGCCCGGTAAGCGTAACACTGTGGGTTCGATTCCCATCCCTGGACACTTTATTTTTCCGTTTATCATTACTCTTCACTATTCATCCTTTCATACTTCATCCCTAAGGTTAGAAATAATCGTTATTTCACCTTAAAATAAATTTTAATTTTTGGTTGAAAAGAAACACATGAGGGGTAATTTCAATTGTTGTTTTACAATCACAAGCCGCAATACTAAGTTCACAAGATTATTGTGTATTTGGTCGTAATATTCTACATATTTACAAGATTGCTGTACGTTCATAATACTCTATTTACTTCACAATAATGTAGTATGGCTGTTTTACATACTTTATGAGTTTATAGAATGTTCAAAGGGGGCACAGAATGGACAAATTACTCTACCTATAGTTATTTTTCTTCAAATATAAGATACTTCGGCCAGTAAATCTTTTTATTGTCGAAACGTCGAGACAATAAAACGATTTACTGGTTAAAGTGTCTTATATTTGAAGAAATATGAATGCCGGCCAGGCAGCCCCTATCTTTACGATATTACCTATAGTTCACAAAAGATATTGCAATATACCATTTACACTTCTATTAATTTACAAAGGTGTAGTGCTCACAATATTCTAAGGATCAATAGCCTGCATCAACTACTATCTAACAAAATGGAAATAAAAGGTAACATTGTGTTTTAGCTTTATTTTTTCATCGGTTTCCGAATCCTACTCGACATGTTCTGATCAAATTGATTTTCAATATCCTGCGTTATCTATCTTGTCAATTCTTACACTGATTCCTATCTTGGTTTAACAACACCTATAAGTATTGTTATATATATATAATTTACTAAACATATAAACTATATATTGAAATCTTCTTGTGTGTGATGTACAACAATATATTTATATATTTTAGATTTGAAAAGGCATATATTGGATCAAAGTATCATTTATTTTACCAATATTTCAGTTGGCTGAACGCCAACCTTTATCAAGGTGTTATGACATATTAATGTGTGTCAACATAGTATATATATATGTTATATTGAAATATTTTTTATTTAAAATTGTTATATTAAAATATTATTTTATTTAAAATTATATATTTAATAGATACAAAATTCTGCTAAATCGACCGCCAGAGGTCACGCTTCCACTATATGGCCGGCTCAAATCTTTGTACATTATGTAAATAATCTTTTGTTTTCCTTGTTCTACTCGCATTAAGCCAGGCATTAATTTTACCAAATTATGTTTTTCATATATATTCCTTATTTCAAATAAAGAAATCTCTGATCAAAACTTTTATTATTCTTAAAGATTTTTAACCACGACTGCATTACCATTACCATAATCCTCAACATGATCTAAAATCAAGCAGAAAATCAAATCTCAATTCTTTTTTAATATAACATATATATATATATATTTTAGACTAATTTTTAACGCCTTGCTATATGTTTTAATTTTTATTTGCTCCTGACGAGGACAAAAGCTTTTTGTCGAAACGTCGAGGTAATAAAAAGATTTATACTGGCCAAAGTATCTTTTTTCAAGAAATATGAATGCCGGCCAGGCAGCCTCTATCTTCACGATATATTTATTTATTATTCATTTTACCAATATTTCAGTTGGCTGAACGCCAACCTTTATCAAGGTTTTATCACATATTAATGTGTGTCAACAACAAACTCAGCGTCACATAACGTCAATATAATTTAGTTTTAAAAATATACATTTTTTTGAAATTATGTGTGTGGGCTGATTTAATCTTCTACTTAACTTTGAATATAATAGATAATATTTTCAAACAGGTAATATACTTTATTTGTATTATTTTCGACTACTCTATTTTCTTGTGAACTGGTAATAAAATATGTCAATGAAATTCGAAACTATTAAAGACGCGTTTGATTCTTTTGAAAATTAAACAATTTCTACTGCCCTTACTGCAATGAAAAAATAATGGGAGGACCTTGGCTCATCAGTGGCGTTTTTAAAAAAAAGGGGGGGAAAGAAAAATAAATCATACACGTCTATAATAGTTTCTAATTTTCATAACAGATGGCGCGCTAATGTATCATAATATAAGAGATGTAAAGATTGAATTTATAAAAAGAGAAGAAATATTTTGTTTGGTGGAGAGAGAAATGGAGCAATCAAATTAGGAAAGATTGAGTAGAAGGCTTACTTTATCTAATTACTCCATTGTTGTCTGGAATTGTTGTACATTGTTTGTAGCTCTAACGTGTGGGCATTTATCTGTTCTTCTTTAGACGGATGGGACTTGGGTTTATACAGACTTATGGCCAACAAAGATAGTTAAATAGTACTGGTAATTATTCACTTCGATAATTAGTTCTTTTTTTGCTTATCCCTAGTACACGTGGTACAGTCCTTGATAATCTTGGTGGGTAGAAGTAGGCGACTGCTTTTACTGTAAGTGCACCACATATCTACACATGTGAAAAACAGTTCGACTTAGCACTTACAAATATGCCAGAGCCCCGTTTTGTTACTTGCACTCGTTGGTGGGGTTGGACTCTTGCAAGAATCGGGAGTCATTGGAGGATTTTTTTTTTTAATCAGAAAAAAAGTGCCCAATGCGGGAATCGAACTCGGGTCGTAGCGGTCGAAAACCAATAGTTTAGACCATCATTCCACCTACCCCCATAATTAGTTCTTAAAATTAAAGATACTTCGACCAGTAAATCTTTTAATTATCTCGACGTTTCAACAAAATTCTTTTGTCTCGTCAGGAGCGAATAAAAATTAAAACATTTTGAAAAGCGTTAAAATTTATTTAAGGTTGCAATGGATAGAATAAATTTTAACGCTTTGCAAAATGTTTTAAATATTATTCGCTCCTGACGAGGACAAAATATTTTTAACAACAGTCTTTGATTTCCAGACTTAAGTATGGTCATCTATGGACAATGACTTTCCAGAATGGTTGCAAGGTTTTCCAACTATGTACTAAGTGTCAACCTGCAACCCCAAAACACATTAATGACTGTATTGACTCATCCATTGATGAGCTCTATCTTCCCCGGCAGACACCATCAAAAGTCCCAAGCTTTAAAAGCTTGATACCTTAATATAATTGAGTGGAGATAAGAAATAAAAGAAGAAAAAATATTTTTGTAGAAACGTGGAGATAATAAAAAGATTTACTGGCTGAAGCATCTTTAATTTTAAGAACTATTAATGCCAGCTAGGCAGCCTCTATCTTTACAATGATAATTAGTTGTTGCATCTCCACCATAATTTCAAACGGAATTCCTACACAGTTTCATTCTAACTTTATAGTCACTCAATTTGTCAAACACACGGCCAGAAATACTTACATAAAAGAGGTCTATCAGAAACACCAAATTGTTCCTGCGGAAAACTGAACAAACTGCTCTTCACCTTATCTATGACTGTCCCAACTTTACAGAATTGAGACATCGATTGTTCCCTGATCTAAATGATCTAACTCTCTTACATAAACCACTTTGTCTATATACATTTTATGAACTCTGTCGATTAATACATGTGAATGTATTTACAGGTCCGACGCATGTCTAGTGGTCACAGAATCCACCGTACATAGATTAGCGTAATTTTCCTTTTTAATATTGATAATCGACGTATATTTATTCCTTGTTTTAACATATTAAACGGTCTAATACGTTGTTCGATTTAGTATATTTGTTAGAGTTACTTTCAAGGTCTTTTTCGCTATGTAGCTATCATGTTCAAACCAAGGGTTTGACATATTCACCAATATTTCATTTGGCTGAATGCCAACCTTTTTCAAGGTATAACAATGAATTTATGTAAACAAAAAACAACGCCACATAACGTCACATAAGTTTGTTGCTTACGTTGTTATAACTTGAAAATGGTTGGCGTTCAGCCAACTGAAATATTGGTTAATATTAATTTTTGATCCAATATATACCTTTTAAATCAAGATCTATTTATTGTTTGCTCTATTTTCAAATTTAATTTATGCATGTCACGAATATTGAAAATAATTTCCATTGTCAATAGAATTTTATCATTATTAAAGGATTCTATTAAATCAAGAATACATAAATAACTAAAATGTCTAAACCAATTTCTGTAGTATAAAATATATGGTCATAGTAATAACTAATTAATCACCTTAATTAATTGCAGAAAGTGTCGTGTGTTCCGCAAAACAATCAATTATTTGAATTTATAATTAACTGGCTAGAGTTACAAAGGTCTATACACCTTTCTCTAGCTGGGCAACCACCGATTGACATCTTTAAAATTTTCGAAATTTTATTTTTCAAACATAAATAATGTAATTTATTTTTCTCTCAATATATAATAAGTATTTAAAATATGTATATAATAATGTGTATATAAATATTGTATTTATTATTAAGTTGTTAACGTGATAATCCTGTTGAAGGACTGACAAGTCCGAAAGCTTTTAAAATGAAAGGTTGCACAAGAAACTTAACCGTGGAAGCTTCATTCATTTTATAACATCTTTAAAGTGTTAGTTCATAAATAAGAAACACAGAAATATGGAAATTATCAATTAACATTTATTTAAACTTTAAATAAAGTAATATAGAATTTTATATTTAGTCGATTTGCCACAAAACACAGAAAATTACAGCCTTACTTACATAAAATAGTTCTTAACTTCTTCTTTCTTATCTCCACTCAATCATATTATGGTATCAAGCTTGTTGAACCTTTTGATGATGTCTGCTGGGGATGAGTAGAGCTCATCAATGGATGAGTCAATACAGTCAATGATGTGGTTTGGGGTTGCAGGTTGAGAATTGCACACTTATAAACTTGATATAGAACAATCAAATATTGACATGAAGCCAACCCCCAAGAACGGGAGGATTTGGATATGTTGGATATTATTTTTTTATTTGTTAAAATTAAAGATACTTCGACCAAAAAATATTTTATTGTACCATACATAGTCATTAACCACACAAATTTGCCCGTAATAGTTACTTAGATATATTTAATTATGTAATATCATTGTAATAATTTTTCTAACTCTCTAATTTTTCAAATATTA